TGAAGGAGTTAAGTTATCTGACTCACAATCCTGCAGCAAATAAAGTGGCATTAAAAACGTTTCCATTGCCACCCTCAGCATAACTCATGCATGCTGCAGTCGCCTGATATTGGCTCGGCCCTCTACATGCTAAAGTGCTGGCTTAGTCCCATTCTAAGCTCTAAATGCAGTACTTTCCCCAGATGCCGGGCACCTGAACACCATGTGGACAGTGTTTAGTGTAAGCTGATGGAAGCATTGCAGGACTTAGAGAAAAATAAATCTCTCCCCCGCACCGTCAGATAGCATGAATCCACTTCACTCCAAGAGTAATTTTGTGTATATTAAATTATATCAAACTTCCTTTTAATCTTCAACCAGTGGTGGGCCGTTAGGGCCAGCAAGGCCTTCCCTGCTGGCCTTGACAGAATCACAAAGCTATAGCTATTTTATAATTTAATCATTTTTCTGAAATACACTACATCAGAGGTCTGCAACAGGGTCCGCGACCCCTAGGGGGTCTGCGGAGGTACTGCAGGGGGGTCCGCGAAATCTTTGGTTGATTTGACAATTTCTTTTTTTACTTTTTTTTCAAACATGAATCTTTCCATTATTTTAATAGTTCAGTATTGTATGCATGATAACAGGTATGTTTCTGCATGGCAGTGGCACTAATAGGCCATCACTCATTTTCGTTTCCACATTTATGTTTAAAATGAAAACATCAATTTGAATAGCTTGTATGCATGATTATCATGCAATTAACAGACGATGTTGATATTGGCATTGGTATCAGTCGAAAAGGCATGTTTGTAAATGGCAGTGGCACGGCCTCCCTACTCACTGTACCTTGCACATGTTTGAAATAAAGACATGAATATATGAACCTGTGTATTATTTGAATAGCTTAGTATTGAATGCACAATAAAGAGGTATTCATGGCACTAGGCCTAGTTTAATGTAAAACACAATTTTATACAATATATATAGTCGGGGGTCCCTGCTCCATCTCTCTATCAGTTTGGGGGTCCTTGGCCTGAAAAACGTTGAAGACCCCTGCACTACATGTATTATAATTTTATTAAATAAAATAAAATAAATCACGGCCCTACTGGATGAACACATCCAGTAGGGCCGTGATTAGACCCTGTGTCTACTCGCGTTTTCGAAATTACTCTTTCAAACCGTTCAAAATTTATATATATACTGTATAAGCCAAGCATCAGCCACACGTCAGCAGGAAAATAATTGGGTATTTATTTTTATGAATGCTAGTTATGACACCTCAAAACTGCTCAAAATGAATCCAAATTATGCCAAAGTGCTTTATTAGGATTATTGAACACTCTTAGTGATAAGACAAGTGAATATATAGTTAATATTTAGTTATATAGTATATAAAATTAGAATACAGCAATGCAACTGCTGGTTCCGAAAATCAGAATTTTGCTTGACTCAGACCATTTATGCTGGCCTGCTTCACTCAATCGAAGTAAAATATGTTGTGGAGACATGTAAAACGTGTTGTGCTATGACTGTGGCGTATTTTTAGGCAAGAATCTGCATTATTTCAAGTAAATATTTTGATACAGGTGCTTTTTTTTCAGGCGAACCTGAAACTTTTTCAATTTGAGCTGTGTGTCATCTTCATTCACTATTAACCAGTAACATTTACACATATCAACACATCTCACAAGTGTTACCTGTATTATACAATCAAAATTATTAAAATAGGCCTTGTAGTTACAGATGTGGAGTCTTTTGGGTATGGTAATGCAATTTTTGAGCAGAGGCCTAAATATAGGGCTAGGGTCCAAAAGGTTAATTAAATTCCTCACAGTTAACAAAGAAAGACGGATGGACTGTGTCTTTAAGTGAACAACAGCTCTGGTAAGTGAACTGCTTTTGTTTGTAAAACAAAATGATCACAGGCTTGACTCTGCCAAGATGGCTGCCCAGTGTTTAAATATTTTCAGTTGGCTGGTTGGTTTCTCCGTCTTCCTTGTCATGATCTGCTCCGACACTTACAGGTGGTTTGTTTTGTCTTGCCACCATTTTTCATCCTCTGAAATCTGGTGTAGTCCACGTTGGCATCATATTTGTGATTGTGATTTGCTATAATAGAATGGTGTTGGCATGACATGGCAAGGACCTTACAGATAAATAAAGTGTGTTTATTTACCTTACGATGCTCTACTTTCTATACTCAAAAAAAAAACTATGACAACACTCGCACACTGTCCAACTTTATCTCAAGATTCCACTATGTCCACTCCTCTGGCAACAAGTCATATGAGACAACAAACAGAACAGATAGATCAATCTAAAGAAAAAGACAAATAAACATATATATATTAGTGCTGGGTAACGATTACAATTTTTAATTTTTAATTGATTTTTCTGTGATTAATCGCATTGTTATGCGCAGAATTTAATAATGAATTCAAAAGTACTGTATTGCGCACTTTTATTTTAAAAGTACTGCTATATGAACAAAAGTGCAATAACATTTGGTTTGCAAACACTTTAAACAAATAAGGTTCTTTTTAACAGCAGTATTCCCTTTACACAGTAGCAGTTATAACACAGTTATGTAATGTCACGTTAAGTTGTCACGTTACGTTGTTAAGTTGTCACGTTAGGTTGTCACGTTACGTTGTTAGGTTGTCACGTTGCGTTGTCGTGTAATGTTGAATTTGTTATGTTACGTTGTTCGGTAACGTAAACTGGTCGAGCGAGCGAGGATGGATGGTAGCATTAGCTTGGTATCGTGCATGCTATGTACTATGCTACTATAGTATAATTGAGTGTCATCCAGAAACTACTGGCCCGAATGGCCAGTATGGGTAATGCGAGTTTAAGGCACTTCCGTAATGGCTTCGTTTTCGGAACCAGAGATTGCTGCCTGGCTAACATGTATCAACTCGAAGGAACGTATTCTGTGGAAGAATCGGTCGGCCCGTCACTGAGCTCCAGGATTTTAGGTGGATTGTCCCGATAACGAGTGCGCCAATGTCGCAGAGTTTGGCGTGCGCTTAAAGAGGGGGACAGAGGAAAGAAGACCTGGCAACCTGGTGCCTGGGTATAGGCAGAAGAAGGGTGGTGTAAGGGAACAGCGAAGGGACAGGTGGGATGGAACACTGGAAATTGAAGGGAGGAAGAGAGAGTCGGCATCTCGTTGCCACTATGGAAAGTTGAGTTTGCCTGAGGCAGTGGAGGGGGATGAGAGGTGACACGCTGGAACCTGGCAACCCAGAACTTTGTGGGTGGGAGGGCAGAGCTTGGGGTTGCGTGGTGGCGTCACTAATGTTGCACGGTGTATCGATACTAAAAAGGTACCGCGGTACCGGTACGTTAAAAACGATACGATTTTGCATATTTTTAGTATCGATACTTCATTAAAATAGCGAGATCAGAGCGCACTCACTGTTCCGCTCCCTGTCATGCTGCCTGCACGCATTGACTGCAAGGGGGCGGGGCTGCCCAGCGCTCACACAGCAACAGGCAGCCTCACTCACAGCGAGTGATAGCAGGGGAGACATGCATCAAGGCCCGTGTACGTTTTGATAGTCTGTTTTACCATTCAGTCGAAAAAACGACAATACGGAAATAATACGGAATTATTCTCGTTTTTCGTTTCAAACCAAAAACGGAAAAACGGAAATGGGGGTCCGTGTACAGTCCCCACTGACCTACAGAGACCCGTCTGCGAAACGTGTTTCAAAGCCACACAGACCAAGGGAGGCAACACGTCTAACATGGCAAAGCACCTTTCAGACAGACACCCCGAACTTTTCAAAGAGTTCAAAGAACGACAGGTAAGCAAATGTGATTATAAACATGAACACCCCCAAGCTCACCTATATACAGCTAACACGAGTAGCCTTAGCCTAGTTTGACGACAAGCCTATATGATCATGAGGTCACAATGCACACAAAAGTGTACTAAATGAAACACAGTTGATGCAAAATGGCTACATGCTGGTGGAGCCTGAGGGTGGATCTTGAGCCAATTATTTTTATTTTTAGTTAAGGAAAAATAATTATTCCATGAATTAAGATAAAATATGAAGTGAAAATATCAAACTCACTAAATGATTTTATTGGTTCAGAGTGGCAAATCGGCTCAATAGCGCCCCCTACAAAATTTCGACGAAGCAGCCCTCGCTGTACGTTTCACATAGATTTACAAAATTTGGTGGGCACATGTATCACATGTGGACTTAAAAAAAAGTCTTAGGGGTCTAAGCTCTAAACCCAACTGGAAGTTAGCCATTTTGAATTTTGTATGAATTTCTCGTGTTTTTTTACTGATAAGCACGGACGTAAGCAGGATTCTATAATTACAGCGGCCCAAACACTGAACTTATTGAAAGGGTTTGTGGGCACACCATGAGAAAAAGACTTCTCTGATCTAAATATGTGCAAACTAAGATGCTTGGAGAGCAAAAGTTAGATAACAGTGGATTTTCAAACATGTCAGTGGGCATTAGTATAAATGATCTGTCCAGAGCTTCTTCATGACAATCAGGTTAAACGTTACAATGAATGCTTCACACTACAATCTAAAGTTACAGAAGAACTTAAAATGAAAACAGTGTTAAATTAAAGTGTTCAAGTAACAGCAAATGGCACTACTGTTTTGTTGACTTTCATGTAAGTCCAAATACAATCAGCAGGACACTGCAGGGAGTTGAACTCCATCCCAGTAAACTGACAGTCTGTTATGTTACAAACACTGAAGCACATTCACACACATTCATTTTCTTAATGATCTTTAAAGGCTTACATTTATGATTGTATCGGATGTACACTCAAAACATTTGAGGCTTAAGACCTGGCAACATGATCTTGCTACGCTGCTGGTCTACGCAGGAAATATCTCACTCGTGCACGCAGAGTGTGATGGTCACAGAAATGCATGGCCGCGTCACCCAGAGTCCTGCCAGTACCAGGAAATACTGTTTAACTCGTGCACGCAGTGTATGACGGTCACAGAAATGCAAGGCCAGAGTCCTGCCAGTACCCTCGACGTGCGTGAAGTTGCGAGGGCCCGATCAATGCTGCTCGCAGCTTTAATTTTTCCTTAGTCTGGGTTTCTCTATGTCCTCTTATGCTGCTATTCAAACATCAACCAGCGTAAATCTACGATGGGCCTTACTGCCGCGGGCATCGCGTCGTCCCAGACACAACATTGTAATGCTTCAAAAAAGATTAAACACTGTTATTCCAACGAAGATTACTACTGTCCTAGTGTATTGTCCATTAAGTTGCAATCTTGCCTTCTGTCCTATCAATTCTGTTTGCAGGTTCTTAAATGTGTTAAGCAGCCTATTAAACAGATCCGCAAAGGTCTCAAAGAAACGGGAATCTGGCCGCTTCTTTCAGACAGGCCAGATGTGCACCCCATTTTTAGAAGGGAGTCGCTCCCATGAGGAGCTTTACCCACAGGTAAGCTGCCTTGTGTCTTTATTGGATTTATGTTATTCCTGAGATTTGTTTGCAAATACTTTCATGTAATTGAATTTGTTTAGGTTTCTGTTACCAATGTAAAAACAATGTTGTATTATTTTTAAGATCACAATGCCACATCTAACAAGTTTTAATCTTAGTAGACGGCCCTGCTATCCACTTAGCCACAGTCACCCCACACACTTGATACACACTTGTATTGGATCCCCTGTAGGCTGTGATCCAGAACATCCACTGGCCACAACCGAAATGTGACGGTGACGAGGAAGACCCTGTTCCATTGGATAAAGTCAGTCTCGTCACTAGATTTTTGAGGAAGTTCATAGAGGAAGGTAACACTTGTCTTATCCTCTCTACATATTTATTGCATCTCTTATCTCTATTTGCACCTACTTGTTTGGGTGCTGCGATTGCGGAGAGTGAACAAAAAAAGGAAGAGATGGCAGTTCTGATGCAAAATCTGCATACAATTTGGGGTACAGATATAATTCTATGCATGGTGTATATGATATTTTGGCAAGTTTTACTGGCTCAAATTTTAATAAAATGCATTTGACGTGTCGCATGCATAACATTTTCTCTTCCATAGCATCACCAGAGGTGCTCCGTGACCTCATGAACTTCTGGGTTGGGTGGGAGCTGCTGACAAGAAACCTCATCGTTGAGGTTGTAACCTCAACTTACCTGGTTGCTCTCACCTGCTTCTTCAAATTGAAGCTCCCCAGACACTACCAGACCTATAAGATGCAAATTAGCTTAAGCTACAATCTGGTACAGTGCTTCGAATGGTGACATTTATGTTTAAACTGTACATGGTCCCTTTTAAATAAATAAGATGCTCCACCAGGACATGATGATGGCCATCAGTTCTGGTTTTGGGCTTGTGTAGATGAAAATATCATGGTGTTACACTTGAATTCCTGTTCACATATGCCCTATTTAGTTTCTGAAGTTCTTTAAATATGATTATTTCATTCAAGTGTACCACTACCAATACTGTTAAACCATAACAATGACCAGTCCCTTGAAACACAGTAAAGCAGTACATTATTTTGTTTTAATTGTTTTTATGTACAAATTGTATGCAAGAAAGGCATGAGTAAAAACAATGCAAACTTCAAATGAAATGCTCTTAGTCATTACTTCACACATGTTAAACATTTTTGGGAAGTTCAGGAGTAATGTGAGCACATCATGCTATAGCTTCACCATAAAAAAAAAAAAGGAAATATAAACTTGAACATAGTAAGCGTTAAGTAAACAAATAATTTCAAGTTGAATTACTTACTGAAAATTCTACTGGAGTTGTATGACACGTCAAGCATGTAATAATTACCTTGCCTCAATTAAGTTCTCAACATATTGGACAGTGTTGAGATACAGTATATGTCAACTCCGAAACTGTCAGACTCTTGCAGCTGCATCATTTCAGGATCTGAGAGAGGCCTGTCCAGTGCAGGAACATTGACCCCAGGATGAGGCTCATTTGTGTATCCACTCTCCTCCCATTGAATCTCTGGTATACCCTGACAAAGACAGATAAGTGTATATGAATTGTATTTAATTACCTTTAATATGCACACACAAATTTAAAGAAGCACTGTGCCCTTACCACTGCTTATTACAAAATAGGTCTTAGTTTGGGATGAAAGAAAGAAAATGCAATGCAATTATCCATCCATCCATCCATTTTCCTCCGCTTATCCGGGGTCGGGTCGCGGTGGCAACAGGCCAAGCAGGCTGACCCAGACTTCCCTCTCGCCGGCAACATGTTCCAGCTCATTCTGGGGGATCCCGAGGCGTTCCCAGGCCAGCTGGGAGATGTAATCCCTCCAGCGTGTTCTGGGTCTTCCCCGGGGTCTCTTCCCAGTTGGACGTGCCTGGAAAACCTCCAGTGGGAGGCGTCCAGGAGGCATCCTAATTAGATGCCCGAACCACCTCAGCTGACTCCTTTCGACGCGAAGGAGTAGCGGCTCGACTCCAAGCCCCCTCCTGATGACCGAGCTCCTTACCCTATCTCTAAGGCTGAGCCCGGCCACCCTACGGAGGAAGCTCATTTCGGCCGCTTGTAGCCGCGACCTTGTCCTTTCGGTCACGACCCAGAGTTCGTGACCATAGGTGAGGG